GAGATCATATTTGTAAAGCACTTAACACAGCGCCTGACATATAGTAAGCACTTAATAAATGCTTAGAAGCAGCTAGGTGGCCCAGTGGATCAAGTGCTGGACTGACAGTCAGGAAGACCTGAGTTCAAATCTGGCCTCAGATACTTCCTAGCTCTGTGACCCTGGGAAAGTCACTCCATCCTGTAACATCCATTTGTAAAATGAAGTGGAGGAGGAAATGGCAAACCACTCCAGTATCTTTGCCAAGAAAACTCCAAACAGGGGTCATTGGACATGACTGAAACAACTCAACAATAATAAATGCTTAATTTTCTGTACTAACCATAATATCTGGGGGATGGGAGATGTGGGCCCCAGGAGAGGACCTGTGAAAACAGGCCCTTGGGAGTGGTGGCCCAGGCCAAGCAGTAGTGGGATGTGATGGAGGATCTTGACATAAGATGCTAAAATGGCAGTCTTTCAGGAAAGAAGTACAGTACTTCATGCCCTCTCCAACACCGCCCACCCTGAATCCCATGCAGCAGAGCAGAGCACCAATACAGATGAAATCATTGCTTCTTAGGGACCTGGGAAATGAACTAGTATAATGATTGTGTCCGAACAACAAATAACCTTTATGGTGGAAAAAATACTGGACGGGGACTTGGGAATACCTGACTCCTGCCTCTTTTATACTTCCTAGCTGTGTGACCATGGAAAAATCACTTAATGACCCTGAGGCTCAGTTTTCTCATCTGTGAAATGGGGGGAATTTCCATTTGTGTTGTACAGTGTCAAACGCACTTGTTTTAATTACAACAGGAAAATAGAGAGGGAGGGAGAGGAAACCCAGACTAAAGCCTAAAGATACTTATCTGAGATGCTCATCTGGAAGAAGAATGAATGAATGAATGAGTGAATAATCATTTAAGTGCTTACAATGTGTCAAGAACACCTAAGCCTGGAGAAACAAATAGAAAAAGTGAAACAGTCTTTGCTATTATTCAGACAAGGTGCTACAGAGTCAAGTGCAGGTGATAATGCTCTATTAGTCTCCTCTCAACACCCCTGACACCCTCAATTCCCCTTCCTAGGAGAAGCCAATCAATGTAGGGTTAGGGAAAGAGTGAAGCCCTTGTCTCTTTTCTGTGAAGTCACAGTAATAGTTTTTAGATTTCTAAAAGTCTATCACAAATGGAAGAGAGAGCAGACTTATTTCGCTTGACCCCAGAAAGTAAAACAAGAAATGACCAGTTGAAATTACAAAGAAGCTGGTTTTGGCTCAAGTCAAGAAAACTGCCTTAACAATCAGAAATGTCTGGCAATGGAAGAGTCTGCCTTGTTAGGTAGTGAAGTGTTCAAGAAAAGGAAGTGAAATATTCCTATTCAAGAAAGAGGAAGTGTTCAAGAAAAAACTACACGACTGCCTATCAGAAACGTTATTGGTTGGGATTTGTTCATTGGGTGGGAAATTAGACTAACTGATGTCTAAGTTTGCATCCAACGCTAAGAATCTGTGATTCTCAGGTTGTGTAACTAGGAGAAGAAATCTTGTTCTATCAGAATCAGTGCAGCCCAGGCCAATTTAAGGACACATAGCTGAATCCTTGGGAGAAAGACTAGAGCCAGCTAACCCTGTCCCTCAAGGACTAAAACTGCAAGGAACCAAGTTCACAATCAGCATGAAGCTCCATTTAGTGCTGACCTTCTGTGTGTTAGGCTCTCTGACAAACTCTGGTGGAGACAAAGAAAAATAAGACATGGCTCCTGTCAGGAATGTAATAGATATGAAGGGCTTCTAGAAATCATCTAATCCAACTTCCTCATTTTATAAAGAAAGAAGCAAGACCCAGTAAGTGAAATGACATCCCCAAGTAATATGTGTCAGACTTAGGATTTGAACTCAGGTCCTCTGACTCTTTTCCACTACATCATAAACAATGGAGTTTGCATATGTAATGAGAGGCAATACATGGACACAAACAACCATAATTAAAGATATATGATAAGTGTACAGGAGAGGCAAAAATCACAACCCACATTTATAACTTTCCAACTCTACAATTTTCAACTTTTCAGGCAACAACCTTGTGGGGATAGGGAGTTAAGATGCTATACTCACTTTACAGAGGAGGAAACTGAGTATCAGACAAGTGAAATGACTTACTCAAAGTCACACCTATGGTAAGTATCAGAAGAGATCATTCCAATACAGGTTTTCCTGTCTCCAAGCTCAGGGTTCTTTCAAATTCCCTCTGTGAGTGTTTTGTGAGAGATAGCATGGTATGGTGGCTACAACACTGGTTTTGGAGTTGCAGGACCTGGGATCAAAAACCAGCTCTGTCATTTACTATCAGTGCGATCTCAAGCAAATCATTCACTCTCTTTGGCGCCTTCAACTGCAATGTGCAGGGGTATGAGTAAATAGCCTTTGAGGTTCCTTCCAGCTCTACATCTAGGATCCTAGGAAGGAAAGGTCATCTCTGGCTGGTGCAAAGCCTGAAGGAAGAGATTGTGTTTGAGTCCAGCCTTGAGTGATGAGGGTAAGATTTCAAGTGGTGCAAGAAAGAGGGAGGCAGGCAAACAGAATGGCATCCTAGGCATAAAGGAGCAATGTGAGCAAAGGTCTGAGGGCTGGAAAATAAGGACTGTATTTGTTGAATATAGGCTGGAACCCAGGGAACAGTACTGAGCAGTAGGGAGGTATAATCTGCACTGTCCATTAGAAAACCTCAGTGGTAAAGTAAGGTGGATTGGAAAGGAAGGGGTGGAGAAGATAGGCATCATCAGGACAAGTTAGGAGGTTATTTCAATAAACCAAACAATAGCAGGACTGGAAGTGACCTTAGACATCTTCTAATTCTATATCTCCATTTTGCAGATGAAGAAACTGAGGCTGAGAGGTTAAATAATAAGAGCTGACACTCGTGTGGTCCTTCCCA